CGGGGGGGGGGGGGCTGCAGGGCCCTGGTCCTCCTCTTCCCCTCTCTCCCCTCCTTCTGCTCTCCGTCCTCCCCTGCCCCTCCTCCCTGTCCTCTCCATCCCCCCTTCCCTGTTCTGCCTTGTTACCCCACACCCAGCACGGCAGAAACCCAAGGCTTCACTATGCACACAGGTGTCCCCTCCTCTCCCCTCCCCTCTGTGTTCCAGCTCTGTGGGGCCATGTGGCCCTCACCCTGCTCTGCCAGTCCTGCCTGGGAAGCCTTGGGTCTGTGTCCCTCTCTGCCTCCTGTCCCTGGCTCCCCGGCTGACCTGAGCACATCAGGAGGTCAGAGCACTGTGGGTCACGGGCCTAGTGCCCAGCACTGCCCCACCTACACCATAGTGGTCAACCGTCCTCACAAGTGGCTCTGGTCACTTGGGCCCTGAAGTCGGGAGGGTGCTTAGGGGGCACAGGGGCAGCACTGAGTGTCTCCCAGATGCAGGAGCCAGGCTGAGGGGGAGGCCAGGAGTATGGGCTGCGTGGCCACCGCATCACCTGGCACCCCTGCACAGTGGGAGGCTTCTGGGTCTGTACAGTGCATGTCAGTGTAGGTGCTGTGAGGGCCAGGAGGAACCAGGTCAGGCCGGCTGTACCTGTGCATGCTCCAAAGGGCCTGTGCAGTGGCTGTGTGGAGCCCGGCGGTGCACCGGCTCCTTACAGGAGCCCCTCTAGCCCGCGGGCCTGCAGAGCCTCACTGCACGGCCTCACCCCATCCCATCCCGGAGCGCCACCTGCTCACCCTGGTTTCTTGGCTCCCGTGAGCTACAGGGAAGTGAGGGCAACCACCCCACCTCCTGGGTGGTCAGGCTGGAGGACGGCAGGACAGACGGTAGCCACCTGGTGCAGACAGCCTGCACGCTCCTTGCTCCTCTGAGCAGGTCCCTGTGCTGCAGAGTGCACCGTCCTCACTCCCTTCTCTCCCACTTTTCTCCAGAAAGTCAGCCTTCAATGCAGACAGGCCGAGCTCTTGGATTTGGTCCTCTGCCCTGATCACCCCTAGTGGGAAAGGCTGAATTCCAGAGCTTTCTGGAGCCCTGAAGTAGCTTCCTGAAGGAGGCTGTGGGAAGCTGGAGTGAGGAGCAGAGGGGCGAGGCTGGCACAGCTCTGGCTCCTGCTGCTTCTTCCGAGAGTCAGCAGGAGGTTCGAGCTCCAGCCCCGAGCTGCTGGTAGATGGCCTGAATGGGGTTAGTGGGGTCGGAGCGGCTCTGACTCCAGGAAAGAGCTGTCCACAAGGCCTGCAGTCCTGGACTGGATGTCTCCCTTGAGGTGGTGGCTGGACTTGGGACAGATGGACTCAGAGGAGGTGCTCATCGCAGAGTCTGGAATAACTCCTTTTGGCCAGCTTGGGAGGGCAGGAGGTCCAGGCAGGCCCCCTCGCCTGCGGTGTGCACAGAGAATGCTGTTCCATCTCCAGGTCCATGGCCTTGGCCTCTGTGACTCCCAGGCAGGCATGCTGGGTCCCCAGCAGGACTCGTGACTGTCTCACCCGGGTCGACAGTGCCCACCTGCACCTTACCCTGAGCTGTGGGACACACAGCAAGTGGCAGGCAGTGGCCATCCTTGGCATTGTCCGTGGTGGCCTCCTCTGGGTCCAGGGCTGAGCAGGCACCCTGCTGGCTGTTGGCATGCCGGTTGGTGCCAGGACCTGGCCTGGGGACTTGGAGGCCACCTGGCTGTTGGCTCTGAGCCTGCCCCCCAACGCTGCCCTCCTGGCTGGTGCTGGCCTATGGCCCTGCCCATGGATGGCTGTCTGAGGTCTGCTCCTGGAGCAGAGCCAGGCCAACGGCGTCCAAGGCCCTCCTAAACAGCCCATCTGCCATCCCGCCTGGGGCTGGCCAAGCCCTTGCGCCCAGACTGGGCGGGTCAGGTTCCTCACCGGGGTGGTGTGGCCCACCTGTGCTGCTCCCTAGGCCTCCTGGTGCTTCAGAAGGCTGCGTGCGCTCCAGGGGTCGTGAGCCCTCAGCGGTCCGGACATAGCCCTGGGCAGCCGGCAGAGCCCAGCGACACGGCTGGACTGATTTCTGAGACTGCAGCTTGTCAGGTAGGCAAGGGGCTGGCTTTGGTGTTTCAGAGCCAGCGTCGGGCCCTTTTTGGGACAGGCACACCCTCTTGGGGAAGCTGAGGTGGAGAGCTGGAGGGCCCAGATGGGAGTGGGGCAGCCAGGCTGGAACGCTGTGGGGTGCCCCTGGGCAGTGCTGGAGCCCTCCCAGTGCCCTGTTGTGCCGTCTCCCCTGGCAGCCTGCTTCTGTGCCTCCCAGGAGCCCTCCAGGAAAGCTAGGCTCGAGTCTGGGACCTGGGCCGTCATTTGGGGTGAGCAGCGGGCAGACGTGGTGGGGTCTGTGCCCAACGAGTCTCCACACATCCCTGGAAGGGTGCTGGGGCAGGCTGGGGGCCCGTCTGTCCCTGTGGAAGGGCCCCTGTCTCTGGAGAGTTCTATTTTGCCAGTTCTCCGGGGTAGAGGTCCCAGTCCAGGGCCTTCCCAGGGTGGGGTCCTGGCCTGGTGGCCTGCAGAGGGGGGGGTCTCTCCATGCTCAGCTCTCCTCCCACACTCAGGCAGGAGCTTCAGCCCTTCCAGTGGCTTTGATGGCAGCAGGGCGAGGTCCTCCCGCCTGTCCCCTGGTGGGGCTTGCTGCGGGACTGGCCCAGAGCCTCCTGGTCTGGTGGGTGCAGTTCTGGGGACCCTAGCCAGCCTTTTTGGGCTGGTTCTGATAGTAGAGACAACTTCGCAGATTCCCTCGCAGGGTGGAAGAGGCCATCCCACAGCGGAGCAGGCAGGGCAGGTGCAGAGGCCACTGAGAGTGCCACAGGCATTGGGTGGGCTCTGTGCATGCTGTGTCTTAGTGTCTCCGTGTGGATGGGCTGACACCAGCACCCGTGGCCTCACCTGAGCTGAGTCCAGATGGGAGCTGTCTCAGTGGGAGGATGGGGACAGCTTCTTGGCCCTGCTAATTAGCACCTTGTTCCCAGCCCCACCTCCAAGCTTCCCTGAGGCCTGATCTAGGCCAGCCTGGATTACAGCTAGGGCAGGGATTCCAGAAGGAAGGCGGGAGACAGCCGGTTCTGGTTCTGCAGCTCTGGCGGGGCAGAGTCCACAGCCCTGCCTTCCAGGGTCCAGGATGCTGGCCTTGCTGGGGCTGCCCGGGTCTCACTGTAAGTCGGCGTGCGTGTGCGCCCTGTGGCAGGGCTTCCTGCCCCCTCTGGGGTCCCAGGCAGCCTGCCAGGTAGCAGAGCCCCGGTGGGCACGGGCTGAGCTCGCCAGGATGGTGCGCAGGGGCAGTGCTGGGGCTTTGCCCCCACGGGCCTGCACGGGAAGGCGGGCCCTGCTCCATGCGGGGCTGGAGGGGGACGGGCCGCGCAGTGCCCAGCCTCCTCCCCAGGTATTGAGACGCAGAGACATGGTGGGAACCAGGGTCTGACTCCATCTGTGCCCATCCGGCCAGCATGGTGATCCCTGCCCTGGGCTGCATGAGACCTGGAGGGGCGGGCCTTCCTCTGGGCAGTGACTGGGCCAGGCTCCTCAGAAAGGCTGTCCTGCTGTCCACAGAGACTGGCTTTGGGTGCCGTCACCGCCTCTTTGGCCGTGTCCACATGGCTGGCTGGGCGCTCCGACCTCTGGTTCCCCTGAGCCTCTTCCCTGGGGCCATCTTTATGGCTCCCTGTGGAGTCCTCCTCAGTGTGGGCCTCAGCCTCGGGAGACTCAGCCCACGCAGGAACTTCCCCACCGCTGCTGAGCAGAGTGTGAGGCCACCGCAGTGGGTACCGGACACAGCAGGCTTGAGCAACCCACTGACCGTGGCTCCCTGCCATCGCCCGCGCTTCCTCCCAGATCAGCTATGGCTAGAGTCCTGGAGGCTACCTGTGCTTGGTGCCAAGCTCCCTTCAGGACTCCAAAGCAAAGAGGCACCTCACCCAGTCCAGGCCGGAGACCCCGCGGGGCCTGTCCAGGCTGGAGACCCCGCGGGGCCTGTCCAGTCTGCCATCCTGCTCCTTGTCTCATGAACTGGCAGGAGAGGCCTGTCGCCACAGGTCTCCCAGGGCCGTAGGGCAGGTCAGTTCCCAGGTAGGTGCAGTGCAGGCATACCCTGGGCACTGGTGAGGAGATACACAGGTGGCAGGGAGGAGCCCTGTGTGTCCCTGAGGGCAGGGCGAGCGGCCATGAAGGGGCCGTGTGGCACAGCTCTGCTTTCATGGTGAGCGCGACAGAGTGATGTGGAGACAGACCCAGCTATGAGCTGTTGGCCCGTGGGCACCTCCAGTGGGCCCTCCCTGCTTAGTTGGCTGTGGGTGGGAGTGTCACAAGGGCCTCGTCCGTGTGGCTGGGCTTGGGGAGCAGTCCCGGGGCTCCGTGTCTGCCCCGTCCATGGGAGGCAGCTGGCTCTGCAGCCCTGGCTGCTGCAGTGAGTGCATCTGTGGGCATGAGCCCAGAGCTCACAGCAGCCACCGTCGCTGCAGGCCACCCGTTACATGGCGTGTGCACGTTTGAGCTGAAGGGCCCAGTGGGTCTCACATCTGTGGCAAGCTCAGTGGTGCTGCCCTGTCGGTCTACGTTGCTGCGTCTGTGTCTCAACACAGTGGACTGTGTCGCCAAGGGTACTCCACCTGCCCACCCCTTCTCAGCTGGCTGCTGGGGAATGCGAGGTGACACCGGTGGCCCAGCCGGCAGCCAGGAAGAAGGCGTGGTAGCACAGCAGCCTGGCTTCTGTGTCAAGAGCAGCCACTGACCGATGGGCCGTAGCCACAGGCACCTGTCCAGCCAGCACACAGACACTGCGTTTGGCTCGGGGGGGGTCTTCAGCTCCTTGGGCTTTCTCCAGCTGTTTAGGATGCGGGAGCCGTGTGGGCTGTGGGCTGGGCTGGGCCAGGCCAGGCCAGGCCCCGGCCACCGTCTGGCTGGCTCTGAGCTGCCGCGTTCTGGCCACTAGGGCCAGTGGCACACTGTCACGCTGTGCCCCACGCTCCTGCCACACAGAGTGGAAAGGCCGTCCAGGCAGACACCACCCGCTTGGGGCCCGGCCAGTCCCGCTGAAGCCAAAAAATGGCCAGGGGCTGCCCCGCTCCCTGTGCCAGGCTGGATCCACCCCCACAGTCCCCAGAGCCATCGGAGCCTTGGGGCCTTCTCAGGTGCCAGGCGCCAGCTCTAGAAGACCCCACCTTCATGGGCCAAGGCTGGGGGCCCCCACCTGCCCATGCTCCCCACTCTGTCTCCCCACTTCTGCCCCGCCAGGGCCTCAGTCAGGTGCTGGGGGAAGGGCTGTCAGCCGGAGACAGCCAACCCCGAAGACGGGGCTGGCCTCATGGCGGTGTTTAAGGGAGCCAAATCCCACATGGCCACCTGGTTCGAGTGTGGCCCAGCAGCTTGAGGGACACACTGGGCATGTGTGTGTGCCCGGAGCCCTGGCAGAACGGAGGGATGCAGGGAGGAGTGATGTGGCCTCCGTACTGGGGCGCTCTCCCCGGCCCACCGTGAGCGCTTGTACCCTCCGGCAGCGGGAAGAAGGAGACACGAGTACCAGCCTGCCTCGCCTTTCCCAGACCGCGAGCGGGCAGGCGTCAAGTGGCCCCAGGGGTGCCCTAGGCTCGTCCCTTCCTGAGACTTTCTCTGAGCCTGGGGGTTCGGGGAGACTGCCTTCCCAGCCAGCCTGTGCTCCCTCCTGAGTCCCCCAACGGGGACAAGTCTCACTTCTCTGAGGGGGACCCGGGGCCAGCTCAGGGGTGGATGTGCAGACCGAGTTGCTGTCTTCCTGGGAAGCTCCAGAAGGACAGGTGGCAACGGCCTGTGCCCTGCACATGTGGCCAGCCTCCCAGGACTCTCCTCCGGGCCTCGGCCTGCCCCTGCACCTCCCTGCCCTCTCCTTTCTCTGGCTAAACGTCCCCTCAGCACCTCCTGCAGTCGAGCACAGTTGTGTGGTCGTCTCTTACTAAGACCTGAGGACCGGACGGTGACGCAGGAGGACGGTAGATCGCTGTGGGGGCTCGGGCAGGCAGCGCTGTCCGGGCCGTGCACGGCAGGCTGCAGCCTGGTGAGGCCCCGTGCTTGCCTCGGGCCCCTGGGTTGCTGGTGAGCTTCTTGGCCTGGGGCTTGCTGGTGTGAGTCCTGCCCGTCTCTTCTCGCTTATCCTCTCTCTCTCTCTGTCTCTGTCTCTCTCTGTTGTTGTCCTGTCGCCCTGCCAGCCGGCCACCCTGTCTCCGGCGTGGGCACTCTCCTTCCTCCATGCTCCGCCTCACCCGCTGCCAGCCAGAGGGGACCAAGCCCCGCTCAGCGTGGCCGCTGGCAAGGGGGCTATGGGGAGCTCCGCCTCCTCCCTGACTGCCGAGACCGAGTCAGACCACGGCTTCCCTGGGGGGTCGCCCTACCCGGGGCCCCCTGCAGCGGCTGGCTGGTGTAGGAGCGGCCCTGGGGGGCCCATGTGGGGAGGCACCCTGGTCACCCGGCAGCACCAGCCCCCTCGCCCCCGGGCCCGAAGGTAAGGAGGAGGGGAGGGGTAGCCTGGGGGCCTGTTTTCAGGGCTCTCTGGCTGTCCCCCTGAAGGTGCAAAAGCTGAGGGTCTCAGGGCAGCCTCCACTCCCAGCCCTCCCCGAGGCTGGGCCATGCAGTCTGGCTGGTCGGAGGCAGTTGGGCAGCGCACAGACTCCGACAGCCCTGCATGTCCCTGGCCTGATGCTCCTGGGACAGGGGCTTGCTTCCCTTGGCATTTCAGGCTGGAGGTGTGTCTGGGCTGTACCTGCCCACCCCCCACATCTGGGTGCCACCTGCCCCAGTGCTACTGCCTGTGGGGGTGGGGCAGCTTTGGCCTTGCCCGCCCTCCTGCCTTCATCCTCAGGGTAGTGAGGTTGCTCACCAGACGCTTGGGATCTGGGGCCCTTGGGCAGATGCAGCAGTGGAGCCTGGCTCTGTGGGTGCACGCCCTCACCCCACTCCTCACCTGGGACAGCTGACTGCTGGGCCAAGGCACGGGGGCAGGTATGGGCCCAGGTCCTGAGGTCAGGGCCGCAGCCGCAGTGGGACTGGAGGGAGTTGGGGGTCTAGTCTCAGCCTGGGCTCCAGAGAGGTGCAGCGAAAGCAGGGTGGCAGCCTGGGGGGCACTGCCCCCATCCCTACCCTCCCAGCGGGGCAGCCCCCTAGAGCACCGAGCAGTGTGGTCTCCAGTGGTCTGCAGAAGAGGGCGTGGTAGCCACTCCAGCCCGGCACTGCTGGTTCACAGCCTCCCTGCAGGGACTCGCCCTGAGAGGGTTGGATGCCTGGCGTAGTGTCCTAGAGGCTCATCCAGGTGGCGTGTGTCCAAATCTCACTTTTCTTAGGGCCAAGCCATGGTTCTCCACGTGGCTGGGCCACGTCTTGGTGATCTTTAGGAAGGATGCAGCTGGAGATGTCAACGTGTGAGTCCGAGGAGCGGTGCTGCCGTGCGGGGATGCCTGCATGGCTCTCCGGGCTGTGGCCTTGGGCTGGTCCCGGCCAACCTCACGGGCAGCCTGGCACCTTCCTGGTCGCTCTGCCTGTTCTAGCGGTTCCTGACAGCAAGCACCTGCTCATCATGGCTGCTCCTCCCGTGGACTCCCACGCAGGATGTGTGGGTCTTTGCCGCATCAGCATGTTGCTTCCAGGCATTGTCGCCGCTACGCTTTGTCGCGTGGGGGCAGCGTTGTCACGTTACCTTCCTGCGGAGCCTGCAAGTAGACGGTCTGTTCTCTCAAAGGCACACGGCCATACTTCGCCTTAGCATAGGTTTCCTCACCAGACGTCCCCGTGTCCCTTAGGTACTGCAGGGGACACAGGTGCAGTGTCTTCCCTGTCCCTCCTGCCAGCGGAGTTTCCAGCTTCACAGGGCCTCACAGCCTGCGCTCGTGGCCTTGGGCACATGGCCCCACTCGGCCCGATGCCATGGGTGTCACATGGCCCTGCTTCCTGGGATGGTCAGGATGTCGAATGGCAGCCACCATGGTCCTGACCATAGGGAGGAGGCTGCCGCCCTGGTGACTGGGGCATGGCCACCAGGGCACAGACCGAGGCTATGCCTGAGTGCTGGGAGTGCGTCTAGTGTGCAAGTGCAGGGGCATGTGGGGTGGTGAGTGGGCACAGTGTGGTGCATGTATCTATGTGTGTGCTGTGTGAGCGTGCTCGGTGTGTGCACTGAGTGTGAGCATATCAGCGTGTTCTATGAGTCTGTCCTGTGTGCTATGTGAGCGTGCTCTGAACGTGTGAGTCTGTCCTCTAAGCTATGTGCGAGCATGCTCTGAGTGTATGTGAGTGTGCTGTGTATGAGTGTGCGAGCATGCTGTGTGTGAGTGCTGTGTTTGAGTGTACGAGCATGCTCTCAGTGTGAGTGCTGTGTATGAGTGTGCGAGCATGCTCTGTGAGTGCTGTGTATGAGTGTGCGAGCATGCTGTGTGTGAGTGCTGTGTTTGAGTGTACGAGCATGCTCTCAGTGTGAGTGCTGTGTATGAGTGTGCGAGCATGCTCTGAGTGTGAGTGTGCGAGCATGCTCTGTGTGTGTGCTGTGTGTGTGCGAGCATGCTCTGAGTGCGTGTGTGCTGTGTATGAGTGTGAGCATGCTCTGAGTGAGTGTGCTGTGTATGAGTGTGAGCATGCTCTGAGTGTATGTGAGTGTGCTGTGTATGAGTGCGAGCATGCTCTGAGTGTGTGTGCGTGCTGTGTATGAGTGTGTGAGCATGCTCTGAGTATGTGAGTGTGCTGTGTATGAGTGTGTGAGCATGCTCTGAGTGTATGAGTGCGAGCATGCTCTGATTGTGTATGAGTGTGCGAGCATGCTGTGTGAGTGCTGTGTATGAGTGCAAGCATGCTCTGAGTGTGAGTGCTGTGTATGAGTGTGTGAGCATGCTCTGAGTGTGAGTGTGAGTGCTGTGTATGAGTGCAAGCATGCTGTGAGTGTGAGTGTTGTGTATGAGTGTGCGAGCATGCTCTGAGTGTGAGTGCGAGCATGCTCTGATTGTGTATGTGTGAGTCCGAGCATGTTCTGATTGTGTATGAGTGTGCAAGCATGCTGTGTGAGTGCTGTGTATGAGTGCAAGCATACTCTGAGTGTATGTGTGAGTGCTGTGTATGAGTGTGCGAGCATGCTCTGCATGAGCGTGCCATGTGTGAGTGTGTGTGTGTGTGTCGTATAGGACCCGCCTGTAGGGAGGGGAGAGGGAGGGCCTGCTGGTGCTGCCGTCTGCCTGGCCTGGCCAGCAGGTGGGAGGCTGTGCCATTGGCGGCCTGAGTCCTGGACCCCACCGCTGGGGCAGGAGGATGTACAGGGAACCAGGCCTGTACCACACACAGCCTCAGCGAGTGGCCCCACTTGCACCTTTCCACAAGGTGTGCGTGCACACGTGTGTACACACTGCATGTGCAGGAGCAGCGGTGTGGCCGCGCTGTCTGGAGGAGCAGTGATTCATGCCCCACCCAGTCCACTGCAGCTGGACAGGGCCCCTGTGTCATCCTCAGCCCAGGTGCCACCTGCCTGAATTAGGGAGCAGTTGGCTTGGGTGCTGGCTGCCAGGGACACAGGCAAGGAGGCATGCCCCCAGCAGGCCAGCCATCGCTGGGCAATGAAAACCCAGTGCAGTGGCCTGGCACCTTTGTCACCCAAGGGCAGCTGAGAGTCACCTCAGAGGACAGGACCATCCGGGAACTGGCAGGAGGAGCTGCCAGGGGGCCAGGTGCTATGCAGGGACCCACGTCCTGGCCTGGCTAAAACCTGTCTGTGCAGCAGGGCATGGGGCCCCTCCGCTGTGCCGACACCCACTCCCTGGTTACCTGCGAGGGCCTGCCAAGCCCCAGGTAGCCTCACCGCCTCCTCCGTGAACAAGCGCAGTGGTGGCAGTGGCCTTGGTTTTCTACCGGCTGTGACCTTCCTGTGTGAGGCGTGACTGGTCATCTCCATGGGCAGTTGTCCTCAGGCATAACTGCTGCTGTGTCCTGAGTGGGTGGCCAGGTGTGCTGTGTGCTGCATCCCCTGGAGCAGCTGGGTGGCAGCCTGGCATCGCCAGACCTGCAAGTGCTTCCTGCATCGGGGGTCTGTGCACGGCCCTGCACAGGCCCTGCCACGTGTGGAGTGGCTGTGGGGCGCTGGCTCCTTCCACCTGGCCTGCCTGCTGGACATCTCTGTGGACTGCAGGGGTTAGTGCAGGTGCAGTGCCCCGGACGGCCAGAGTCCCCGATTCCCACCAAGGCCCTCTCGGCCACAGAAGGGCCACCCTGGACGGCAGCCCGGCACTCCGTTTCCTCAGGGCCACACTGGATTTTCAGGCAGTGTTTGCACTTAAGCCTTTCCCAGCTGCCAGTAGACTCTTCCTGATCAGGCCGTGCCCGCAGTTCCAAGTTGTGCAGGGCCAGGCTGAGCCCGTACAGGAGGCCCCAGCCTACCCCTCCCTGCAGGACCAGAGCCTCCGGGGCGCTATAGGCCATCCTGCTCGGCTGCGCTGGCCTGCCCTCCCAGGTGTGAGTGGGGCGGGTGGGCCACAGTGGCCGGCCACTTCTGCCGACTGCCGCCTGCACCAGTGGGGAGGGAGGGGGGGGGGTGGCTTTCCGTGCCGTTGCTGGGGG